GAAGCACACGCTGCATTGGCGAAAGTGAAGTCGTTCTTTTATGCGCTTAATATTAGTGAACGTGACGAGGAAAACATTTTGAACGTGGAAAGTGCTCTGTTTGGTCTAAAACGTAAAGTTTCGACAAACCAGTTGTCCATTAAAGACTTTTTTGGTAAAAAGAAGTAACTTTGAAAGAGAAACATTGTTTTTTTTTAAATTTTTAATGCTTTCCCGCATTCATCGTTTTTATTTCCCACCCCCGCCGAAAACGATGCATCGAGGTTTCACTGTATATCACTTTATTTTTTATTTTATTTTAATGCTTGTATGGGTGCTTACACTGTCAAAGTAACTGTTTGGTATCTAGGAACATCTATAGCAGCAGTGACAGTGACATGTCACCAGTGTTAGAGCTTGATGCATTTTCTATTTTAATCAAGAAAATACTCAAAATCTTTAGTATTTGTTTCTGAACACACACGAGTGTGTGCACATGCACACGTGTATATATATATATGAGCATGTGTGTTTATACAATAGAATGTGAGTCATGTCACTCTTCAATTCTACTGAATGACAGCAACATTTTTCCTTCCTACTGTTCCTAGTATAATTTAAAGTTGCTGAATCATTTCAAGAATCACCACGACAATGCGCCATTATGAGTCACTGACTAATGCTTCATTATGTGGAAATTCAGTATTGAAAATTCATCAGAAATCAAAATTTAAAAAGTGGACAGATCACACTACAGAATCTCTAACAAATGCAATTACTTACAAGAAGGGATGTGACAATCTTTGTACAACAAATAACAAGTTCCAACAGCCAGCATTAGCAGTGTCCCCATCACTACAGCCACTGCAGCCACCCAAACACGGGTGTCAAATGTCTGGGCTCCTTGCAGCAGATGGCGAGCCAGTTCTGTTACAAAAACTTATGTCAACATCTGTACATAAATACATCACATCTATCCACACTCTATAGTTATATTAATTATAGATGTCTATATATGATGATTTTTAGACAAAGACGTATGCCTCCATTTCCCACCAGGTGTGTAATGGGATAAAAAAGATGGTTTTACTGAAAGATACATTTCATTATGAAATCGAAAGCACCAGAAAAGAAAATGAAAATTAAGAAAATAAGACTCTGCACTTCATTATGAAATCTAAAGCACCAGAAAATAAAATGAAAATTAAGAAAATAAGACTCTTTATACCAATATGTATTTCTAAACATCTAAAAAGGTAAATGTTCAATACAGTGCTGCAGGCAATGTCAAAGTGTGCAATGATGGTAAGTAATGTATTGTGTAAGCAACTTCATTGTACTAACGGCAAGTGATCAAATGATTCTAGTTTTTCTGAAGTAGAAGAGTTGGCATCTTCAATTGATCATATTCTCTGTATCAAACATTCTGAGGTGTCACTTGGTATATTTAGATTTCCATCAGAGATTATCCAGAAATAGTATGGCTGTAGTTTTCAACATCCTGTGAGAACTGGGAATTTCAGAACTTACAAACATAAAGTGAGTAACAAAATTTGTCTCAACTGTACTGAACATAAGACGAAGATATGCTCATCAAAGATATATCCTCTAATCAATAAAATATGCAAAAGGCATAAGCTCAAGTGGTTCATAACAAACAGTCTAGAAATATATGTTTGCAAATTGCAACAAAATGTCTATACTTGTTCTGCAGTAAGATGCAAGTTAAATATATTAATATATGAAAAAAGTGTTATTTTATTACAAATTCTAGTAGATATATAACCAAATCACTTTTCTTCCGGACAGTTCTTAACAAAATGCTCACCAATCTCTTCAGTATCATGCAATGTAGTTGCCTCCAACACAGTCTCTTCTCCTGGTCCCAAATTATTATTGGCCCAGATTTTGAACACATATGTAGTATTGGGATCCAGTCGATACACATCTATCTGTCGCTGTAACGTCAAAAATATGATTTTTAGTTCATTCTCTGCATGGCTTATTAACACTGTTGAAAGGCGATTCCACTAAACGGCCGCAAAATAAAAAGGCGCCAAATCTGAAAAACCCATGAAGGGAAGCTAGGGGTAAAGCTCTTACCTGTCAATATTACCGTTGTTTCTTAATTGAATGACAGACCTCATTTTGCTGTTTACTATGGTATATAAAGTCACTGTCTAAATGAAAGAAAATATAAGACTTGATCAAAACGTTTAGTGAATAACATCACCACAGTAGTGGACGTGGTTAAGCGGCAAGTGTGACGGAAACCTTTAGGCATGTGCTTATGTATTTCCACTGAATAGAAGCCTCAGTTGCACTGTAAGGCTGTGTTAGAACATGTTTCTCGCGTTCAGTGCATGTGTGCAAAATTATGAAATATGTGTAACATGCAATTCTGTTTCAAACTTGGCTAAATAGCTTCAGAAATATACAGAATGCTCAAAACAACCTACAGAAGTGGTACTGTGACATAGACGACTGCTTTCAAATGGTTTCACAGATTCCAACATGGAAATAATTGTTCATTCTAAAATCACCAGTGAAAGTACTCATCCTCATTTGGGTTTATATTAAATGCCAAATTTTACCGAAATAATAAATGCATTTATCATGATTTAAATATATATTCTCATTAGTAAAAGTGCTGAAGGATATAACAACGTAGATCTTCTCCACTGTTTATCGCTGTGGTGCTGCATAGTGAGACAGTAAGCATGTCTGAAATGTCACTCAATTTCTACCAGAGTATATGTGCACACAAAAATCACAGAAGACAGCCATCTTCATACGTGCTGCTTCAAGAACATGAGGTCTTACCTAAATTTCAATTACTGCGTCACACATAACAATGTTGCCACTCACCACATTAGGGCTGATATGTTCTGGCATGACAAAATGCCAGTGATCAGGCTCTTTGCCTGCATCATTATGCTTCTGTCGAAACTGTGCTGTGAAGTAGGTGATGGGATAACCACCAGTATCTGTCACATCCCACAACAAGAGCGCCAACACCGTTGAAGGACGAACTGTTACATTTACTAGTGCAGGTGGTACTGCTATAACATAAACACATTCTAACTTTTAGATGTAACTTAAAATCTTTTCACACAAGCGTAAAATGTACAAAATTCACCACAAAGCTGCATACATGGTTTAGTAAATATTAAAGTTCACAGTGAAGGCAGGTATATAAATTAAAATATATAATATAATTCAGGTCTATACACAAACTTTATTTACAGATGTTAAAATTTAAAATTTGTGCTATTCATCGTTACTACGATGTTACAATACTGCGCCTTCATTTACTACATGTTTCGATGCGTAGCATCATCTTCAGGTTTTTCCTTTAAAACTACTTTATATTACAATGCAAGTTTTTCA